ATATATATATATATATATATTTATTATGAGTGAGAAAAAAATGAGAAAATGAGAATGTTTTCAAATAAAAGATTGACTTGCTTACCTGTACTTGGATCAATGCCTAAATTGGCACTAGATATATGAGCAGGAGGTGGTGACATGAATTTTGATAAAGAACTTAAAGGTGCCATTTTATCCTATTGACAAAAAACAAAACAAGGATTAGACAAACTAGATTTTAAAATTATGTATTTTTAATGAAAGAATACATTTTATATGATAAACATTCCAATTCTAGGTAGCAAAGTTTTTTTTTATACTAAAAATGATCAGTTTTGTGCATTCGTGCATAATGTGCTCTTGATCTATGCTTTACATATTCAAAACGGACATATTAAAAACGTTCACTCGATTAATTTTCTAACTCCTCCCTTCTTTCTGTTTTCAAGAAACGACCTTTATTATAATATGATGAAATAATCTATTTTCCTTTTTCTAGTTAATACATTGAACAAACAAAGAACAGTTCATCGTCTCGATTTCAGGCTAATCAGATCATTTCCATCATGTAGACAGACAAGGTAGATCGGCCATGTTCCGGTCTTGTCTTGTTACAATGACGAATTAGTTGGCAACCGCTTTGCTTTGCTTTGCTTGTTCTCTTACTCTAATCATCGACACTAGTAGAATAAGGAAGAAGAGCTGGGTAAATGTTAATTAGAAACAGTCAAGAGATAAATCTTGTCCGTCTGTCCCGCGCGATCAATCTGAAGTGGAAGCAACTCCAACACATACAATCGTTTGCTAATGATTTTTCCTCGTAGATCATCATGAAGAAAGAGTGTGGAAAATTATTGATCGATCATATATATAATATTGAGTTTGTGTGAGGGTGGAACTACACGCGATCATCCTATCTATTGGACACCTGCTTTCGATCATAGAATAAGTTTTTTCAAATCATAGCTTTACAATAGAAATTTCTTTTAATCGATCAAAAAAAAAAGAATTATAAACAAACAATAACTTACAAAAGGAGGTGTTGCACTACCGGCAGCTGCTGCATGATAATACGGAGATATGAAATATGGAAAAAAACTGTGGAATTGATGTTCACTGTTCAGACGATCTTTAATATATAAATATATATACACGTATATGTTAATTATAAATCGACAAATAATAATCGAATGTCTTTACCTGCTAGATTATTTGATATTGCTTGTTGTGGTGATGACTATAATATAAACATATAGATTTTTCAATTAAAAACAGTATATATATTACTTCTTCTTCTTTAATAACAGGTGAAAGTCGATCACTACTAGCATCACCATCAATATCAACATCTTCTTCATGTTTTTCACATCCAAATACTTTAACTTCATCACTATCTGTTGTTGAACTACTACCACCACCACCTGGATCAGTTGTTAGTACTGATAGTTTTGATGGTGATAGAGATTTTTGTAATGTTGCTGTTTTTGTTGTTGTTGATGATGACATTTGTCGTTCAGGTGATTTAGATAGTTTAGTAGATGATGATTTGATTGAAAGATCAAGTGTTGTAGCCGATGATGATAAATCAGTTTTACCCGGCTAAACAACAAAGCAAGCGGACTTTTTGATAGAAAAAAAGTAAAAGAAGACCTATAGACAACTTTCGTTGAACAAATGAACAAAGAGAGCGAAAGAGACCTAGTCAGGCAGCGGCATCGTTTTCTCTCTTTCTCCTTCTCTCTCCCTCTCCCTCTCTCTCTCTGTGTCTCTCTCTCCCATTCGCTCTCTTTTTCCTACTCGTTATTCCTTTTCCCTATGTGTTTTTTTGATAAAAAATATAGAAAATGAGAAAAAAGAAAATCATTACATATAACATATATATATATATATCTATGTTCATTATAAAACTTACCATCAGTGTCGGAGCCAAAAGTATATTTGTCGGCATAGTCACTTGTACTTTTTGACTATCATCCGATATATGTATATGTATATATGTGTATATATACTTATTGATGATTGTCAGGTACGATAGACAGGTATAAAACACTAAGTAATAGAACGAAAAAATGAGATTAAAATGAATGAGTATGAGTAGAGATCAATTATGCGCATCAACTTCTTTGTCGGTCGGTATTTCTTTTTCTTGTCTTTTATGTAAAGTGAAAGGCTTTCTATTGCAGTCGGTTTAACTTCAAACAAGAAAAATATATTGTTCCGCATTCGACCTACCACTTTTTTCTTTTAAGTTTCGAGAAAGAAAAAATTTGTACGATTAAATATTATGAAAAAGATAATATTCTTCTCTCTCTTGTAATGATGTTTCAGATAAAAGATAATAAATAATCGGAGAGAAGTTGTTATGCGAATTTTGTTAAGTACTTATTTGATTATCAACTATTCTAATAATTATTTGAAATTAGAAGTAGAGGAGAAGAAAAAGAAAGAATGGTATTTGAAAATAAATGAAGTTTTCCTAACAATTGATTGATATCTATCTCTGATTGTTTTCTTCAATGAAAAGGCTAACTTAAGTAATGACTGATAGTGATGGTGTAATAGACATCGACTGCTCGTAAATCTTATTTTTCTCCTAGTGTGATGAACACCCATCGGGACGTTATTTTGTGATTGATCGAGTAAGAGAGGTGATGATGATCATAGTCATCGAGTTTTCTTCTTCTGCTTCTGTTAATATATATTTGTCGTGATTGTATTTTCTCTTTTACAGTAGAAAAAAAAAAGAAAGAGTAGGAGGTTAGTCAGTCTTCGGGAAGAACATATAAATATATAACAAACAAATAATTCCCATATAAGAACAAAAAAATATCTAATGTACTGATGAATTGAAATAAAACGAAGCGAATATAATCAAATTATCTATTTATATTATATACGTACG